CTCTCTCTTTTATTGTTCTTGATCATGTCTTTTGGAAAGAGAGCTTCTGGAAATGCCCAACCTTCTTGTTTCGATCTGAGTGCTCTAGAATCGGCCAGCGGCAAAGTTATTCCCAAACCTGAGTTTTTGAAAAATTGCGTTAGTCGCAAGGAGGCTGAGGCGTATTGAGCAGCCATGGGCAAAGTGCCGGCACCTCTGTGCGATATGTGGGTTACTGCTAGACCTCGTTTGAGAAGAACCCCGGGTTGTCCGAGCAAGAGCTCCCTCAAATCTGTCAAGTACGTGCGGCGTATGTGCGAAGTGCCAAATTTGGTGAAGTTTCGCCTCCCTTTGAGTTACTTCACATGTTATGAACTTTATTTGATGTGCTGCCGTCTATGGTTTCCTATTCCGAGATTCATAGCCAACGTTCTGGATTGGTTTGGATTATCTATCGGTCAAATCTATCCAGCTGGGCTTCAACACCTTATCAGGATTCTGGTGTTGAGCTATGAGCGGGGTATGATTCTCGATGACGACTATCTTGAGGGTTTGTTAATGCCGAAAGGAAAGGACGGCATATGTTTTCGTCTGCATCGACAATGCGTCGTTGGAAGAAATCGGCATCCCCTTCATTAGGATTGAATGGGGTTGACAAGGTATTTTGACCGTGAATCCATTGATTTTTTTTACTCCGAAGATATCTGACATTGCACATTTTTTTGTTTTGCAGTGACTAATCCTTTACCTCCACATCCCAAAGATCTTCGCACGGTTAGAGACCTTCTTCGTGGTGGTCCATTCTTTTGGGGATACTTTTCTCCAAAGCGAGTTTGTCTCGCGGTTGCATACCATTACTATCGTGTCCAACCGGACATTTCAGCTGAGGAAGAATCGGTACCAAGCATGGATGAGTTCACGAATTTCGAGGTTCCAGTGGCGAGGGAGAGGTCGAGATCTCCAAAGGATAAGCACGTTTCTGTATACGCGGACCAAATGTTCGAAGACTTCCTAGACGGTTAGACTAGCGGAGGTGGCACTGATCCGATGAACCTCGACAAGTTTTTTGACTTTGGGATGCCTCTGGACGAGGTTATGCAGAGCGATGTATCGTAGATTGCAAAGGCATCGAGATTTTTAAAACAAGGTTATTTCGATCTTTAGAATTTCCAAATTTATTCATTCTAGGTTTCTTACTAGTTTGGAAACAATTTTTTTGTGTGCAGGGTCTCCTTGTTATGAGCAAGGCTCTAGATGCGAGCAAAACGGAGGCTCACATGGCTCAGTTTAAGGCTGAGGTTGCGGACATGGAGACTGCTCGTCTAAAGGAAGATTTGGCTGCAAGTTCTTTTCGTGCCAAGGAGTTAGTTTCCAAGGAATTTTGTCGTGCTCACTGTAGTGGAAGGAGAGAAGTTGCTGAGGTGGTAAACACCTGTCTTGAGCGTTTTGCGACTGAGCTGGTGGAGATGAAAGACGCCTACAAAGACGTCAGCGACTATCGTGAGTGTCGCGATGTCGTTGGCTGGTTGCATCTCACCAAAGTCTCGGGTTATTCCTATGCAGCGGAAGCGAAAAAGAAGACGAACCGAATGAACGAGAGAATGAACAAGCAGTCCGCGCTCTTTGATATTGAGGCAAGGATCTGGGAGCAGTGGGATCCTATTCCAGTGTCCCCCGATTCAGTGGAAGTTGGGCCGAAGATTCCTGATGGGAACGGCAAGGTGGATCAGCCTGCAGCGGACGTAGGTGATTGTTCGTTTGGGAGATCAGCGTCCGGGTACTATGAGCCTTAGCCATTGATACCACTCAAATATTTAACCCCAAGGAGTGACTTACTCTCTCAGACAAGAGATCAGTTATAGTACTTAGGGATTGAATCCACAAGGAGCTAGGGAACTAATTAAATCTAATCAAGTAATAATGCTAGGTTGGTTTTAAGGTAAATTGCAGTAAGAGATAAATAGAAAATAGCAGTAATCCTAATTGAGCAAGACAGTTGTTTGATGTCACTCAAATGTTTAACCTAAGGAGTGATTTTACTCTCTCAAATAAGGGGTTCAATTGTAGCACTTAGGGATCGAATCCACAAGGAACTAGAGTCACAAAAGATATAATCCTAAGTGATTAAGCTAGGTTGAAAAAGGTTTTAAAACAGTAAATAAAAT